CCCAATCATTTGTCGTTCGTCGCGATGCGATTGGCTGTAAAGGCTTTATTACGGGACTTTATTGTCAAGCGAAACTGTTCGTGTTTCGTCCTCCAATAAGGATATATCGGTGAGCACTACTTCTGCGTGACGTCTATACATATTTTTACTACAGTTGGACTTTTTTCCACTTTGAGGTATCATACTTTTAACTTTCTCTCTAACAACATGGAGAATATGAACTGAAGTTTATGACTCGGAGAAGTACATACGAGGTTGATGGAAGCAAATACATGAGCACAATACACGCACACACATACGCACCGGTTGGAGAGGGGCAAGTTTTGAAGAAGATAGATGTACTCACAGATTCCATTAATTCACGAGCGCTCTGCGCCAGAGCCTCCATTTCGCGGCTGACTTTGTCAAGGTGTTGGCCGCTGAGACTAGATCCGCTCAAAGTCGTCGGTGGAGCATCGTCCACAATGCTCGGACCGCCACCACCGGACAGGGTACCACTCGAGGCAGCGGCAGTCAAGGAGGCATTAACCGCAGTCTTCATTTGGATTTCACACCGGGCGATCTCATCGTAGATCTTGCCCAAGTACTCCCTGGGCAGGTCCTGGCTATCGTTTATGCCACGGTTCATACGGATATAATCCTCCTGAGATGTGAATAAAGAAAGTCGAATATCTAGTCGAAAGCACTGATGGTGGAAAGATGAGTAAAATGGACCAAAGCAGTTAGGTTGAAACTAAAAATTGCAAGTGCCTGGTCGAACAATGACGAAATCACGTGGTTTGATGGAAGAGTTCAGAGGAACGCAAGGGAATAACAAAGTCATTCAAGGTTACGAGATGCGAAGTGTGGTAAAGAACTATTAGAAGTATGTATCCCCCTAGCTCCTCAAATGGTAGGACAACCATCACTCACAACGGTTTGCAGTAATTAAAAATAATTTATCAAGGGAGAGCCGTCCCCTCACCCCTTCAGATCTTGCACTTTTTAACCTAACCGAGTGAGTGGCAACTTGCTGCACAGTTAGCAGGCTAACCTCTCAACCGAAAAAAAGATTAGAGTGGTTTTAAAAAGCGTTTGAAATGCCATCGGCAAAGCAGCAGACAGTGTGACGTTCGATGTTTCCGACTGATAAATCGGGTGTCTTGAAATTCGAAGGTCGCTCAGCCTGCGAGCTTCGAGAAATGTCTGTCGAGTTTGTAGCGAGTGCCCGCTGGCGCCGGGGCCATTCTGGTCAGCGTCCTAGTGGACTGATACGTTGGAGGAGAAAAATGATGAATTTATTCATTGGTAAGACACGAATGTAACAGCTTACCACGTAATTTTTGCACAAAATTGGTTTATGGTGGCTAACTTTTGTCTGTTTTCTGTCCGGGATGGACGATTTTCAAGCCAGTGAACAGTAGCTTGAGATGAACGCTCGAAACTACTGCATTTTGACATAGGTGCCAAGAGGGACTAAACCCTCACCTGTGCCAAAAAAGCAATCAGGTGGCAAGTGCGGCAGTCTGCCGGTGTCATCGTCTAGCCGTTAGACTTTTCTTGACACTGGTTTTACGAACACCCAGACTTCTGCACCAGACGCGGAGACCATGAAATTTCGGAAGATAAAAAAGCGCACGTTTTGACTTCAATAGCCTTAAAACAGTCCACCGGCCAGCCGAAGTCGTTGTAGAGGAAGCCTTGTACGTTAGTATTTTATGGTCCCACTGACTTATTGCAAAGTATTTCCGATGATCTGATATGGTTTTACGAAGGTTGGGGCACAATGCCTATCTTGCAGTCTGGCGACCTTAGAGTCTGGCTGATAAAAATGCTATCCGTGCAGCAACATGAGGAAACTTCAGTAACCAACGATCGATGTAAGTCCCAGATATGAAATGGACTGATTAACAGCTCTCCGCTGGCCAGATTATGCACTGTGTAATTATGTGCAGGGGAATGTGTGCAAATTCTACAAAAGGATCGCCTTGGGTTCCAAATTTATGCTACGCTGTTTAATTAGACCTAAATGGATGTCTCGCAGGCGTGTGGTACGCTTCCAAATGAGACTACGTTACGCCTGCCATTGAGCCCAATCTTGTCTGCGATCGGTTTAAATTGGACTTGCTACTGAAACATGGTGAGAGAGACGGAATAAGGCCAGTCCAGCGTGGATCAAACGCATTCTTTCCTCAATACAATAAATTTGCCCAGCTCTTAAACTGGCGCGGAGGGCAAAGCAGGGGTTAGCAACGCTGTCACCTGGTAAAATAACTCAGTTATCTCACAGACTGAGGGTGGGACTGTAAAGGTTTCTTCACAGTATGGCCTTTGTGGAAACTCTTATCCATGTTAGAACCGAGTCTTTTGCTGACGCCAAGTTTGTGTGAAGTGAGCGGCCAGCACGCGTGGGGCACGCGTAGACGTGGATTTAGGCGCGAGTCACTACTGCGCTCTCGGGGCACTGGTGGTCACCAGCGTAATTGCTGTTCCGAAGATTGCACGTTCTTCCTTGCAACATGAAACCCAGAGTCGCATATTCGCCGCATTATCCAATGTTGTCGTGGAGGCTTTTGTCAATCTGCCCGATTGAGGCAGAACTTACACATATTTAATTCCTTTTCAGTTTTAGTAAAAGTTCGCGATACTGTTTGACAAGTCCAATAAGTTCAACAGCCCTTCCTAGCCTTCTTCGGGTTTTAAGGCTCTACTACTTCCACCCAGAGATCAGTAAGCAATGCCTTCATATTCTTCATTCCTTCCAACTGTCGAACTACTGTGACCTTATTTCGGGGTAATAGGCTTGCGGTTTAAAGATAACAAACGATCCACGCTCGGATAGTCGTTTGCCAAGCTCGCATCTCCAAAGTATTCATGACATGTGTGCAATCAGTTAGTCATAATCCTGATCAGGATCTGACTCCAGAAACTGAAAGATGCGCACGCAAACAGCGCAGATAGTCCACAGTCAGCCTCTGCCACCTGGACCAGAAGCATTTTCTGGGAGCAAAGTTCATCACTGGCTCGTCGCCACCTGGCATTCTTTCTGTAGCTAAAGATCGGAATGCAGGAATAAATGACTAGCGGTTTACTCGCTCCCCCAAGCAATCAAGCCCGAATGAGTGATATAGATGACGGATAGGCGACTACCAAGCTGAATGAACTCGGCCAACGTATGAACGCAGGGGAAAGGAACGGCGGAGATGCAAACTGCCTGATACAGCGTCGTTTCGAACTTTGGTGCTACGAAAAAAGGCAGCCACGGAAACGATAACATCGAAGAGTATGTAAATTTTTGGACGATGACTTTCTCTCTTTATGTTCGGTGTATCTGAGAGTAGCAAACGATGCCCTATGATAGCCTTATTAGTTAGTGCATAACATGAGTTCCCTCTGGCAAAAGAGGGAAACCAATGTATCGGT